AGTTCTAATTTTGAAACTTAAACACAAGAAGAAAAATCCAGCAGCGGAGTGTTTTTAGCTACTTGACCTTTCACTGAACAAAAAGTAGAGAAAACAATACCCAAACAAGGAAGCATAAAAGGAGCAAAGAGCTAAAATGCACAGGCATATGGAGCTGCCTCATGACTGGTGATACTCAGTAGCCCAAATCCTTCTACTTTTGCCTTCTGTGAGCTCAAACTGCTATTAATTCTGCTCCTCTCAAACTACACGCTATTTCTCTTGGCCATATGAACATTTTAGCACATAGCACATAGTCAGCAACATCTGTCATGCAGATTTACAGGTGTCTTTACCTCTGCAAGCGCTAGCCCTTGCAAATCTTGTTTTGAGCTCTGCATGAACAGTCCTAAGTACTCCCAGTTGCTGTCTTGAATTAGGAGGAGGATAAAAATGCTAAATTTCAGATAACAGCAGAAACAAACAGGAGAAGCCTATGAAGACAGCTACCAGAAAAGCAGTAGCAAACTGTACGGAAACTCTCTTTATACGTTTTCCTAGAGACAGCATGGGCATAACATAAAATAAATAGTATAATACCGTCTGTTTGTGATGCGCTGCCTGTTTTCCCTCTGATCCATGAAACTGTGTCTCCTTTTTACCCCAGCCAAGAGCAACAAACTTTCCTGAAGAAGAAATAATCACTGTAGTGTAAGATATACAGCATTACTCTGCACAGTGGGGTAAACACAACCACAGCTCCAAGCCACCCTCACATTCAATTCAAGTTTAATTATAAAAATGTCAGAAAATTTACTAAGTCCAGAAAGTCCTCTGCTACAGGGAACTGACAAGTAAAATACTGGCGCCTCCCTTCGGCTGTCCAGCAGCATTACAGCCTAAAATGCCTCCTGGGGCCCAGTGCTCAGCTCCATTTCTTCACTTTCTACAAGCTTAAAACACACTACTGACATCAGTTTGAACAAATTCATTTCAGTGCACCTCTCACCTTCCCCAAACTCATCTTGGTGGATTTGATTCTCAGTAATTGGTTCAAAATCCCTTGTCATCATGATGAGTGTTTGCTGACCTGCAGGGCAGACATTAAAAACAGTATTAGTAATGGTATCTCCAGCAAATAAAAACTCAGTGTTCTCCTGTGTTGCTCTATTTTTCTGCCATGGACTTCAATACAGAAATATTTTCAGTGGTAATATGATACTAAAGAGAACACATTCTTCAGAGCAGAAAAACTCAAAACTGGACCAGAACAACACTTTCAAGTCTCTCTCTTCAAAAACATGCTTCCTTGTCCAGTGTTAAAAAGTTACTTCAACTTCAAAATAACAAACTTTTGAAACATTTTCTCTTAAGAGATGAAGGACAAGAAGGTGATTTGGAGTGGTCAGCATAGATTTACGAAGTGGAAATCATGCCTGACCACCCTGATGACCTTCTACAATGAAATAACTAATTTGTGGATATGTTTGGACCAGTGGATGTCATTTATCTTGATTCTAGTAAGGCTTTTGACACCGCCTCCCATAACATCATCATAGAAAAACTCATGAAGGATGTGGCAGACAAAAGGACAGTAGAAGTAGTGAAGCAGACTGAAAACCAGCTGAACTGCCAAGCTCAAAAGCTTGCTATCAGTGACAAAAAGTCCATCTTGAGGTCAGTCACCAGTGGCATGCCCCTAGATACTAGGGCCAATGCTTAACATCTTCATTAATGACCTGGAGAATGGGACCCTCAGCAAGTCTGTAGATGACACAAAACTCAGAGGAGTAGCAGGTACAGGAGAAGTTTATGTTGCTGTCCACACAGACTCTGTCATGTAGGTGAGATGGACTGCCAAGAACCTTGTAAAGCTTGAGAAGGGGAAAAGCCACATCCTGCACCTGGAAAAGAATAATCTCAGGCACTAGGACAGACTGGAAGCCAAGTAGCTGGAGAGCAGCTTGGCAAAAAAATGACTGCTTTTTTGGGGAACACCAAGTTGAACATGAGCAAGCAGCATCCCCCTGATGCACAGGTGGAAAACAGCACCCTGGGCTACACTAGAAGTTCTTCTCCTTTACTTGTGCTGGCGAGACATGTGGAATGCTGGCTTCAGGTTTGGGCTTCCCAGCACAAGTCAGACAAGGACATACTGCAATGTGTCCAGCAAGGGATTTATACAGATGAATAAGGGCTTGGAGAATCTGTCGCATGAGGGGAGGCTGAGAGAAGTCAGACTGCTATAGAGAGAAATCTCAGGGGGAATCTCATTAGGGTGTATAAATACCTTGTGTGGGAGGTGGGGTACAGTAGAGAAGACAGAGATAGACTGTTAGTGGTGCCGAGTGACAGCACAAGAGGCAACGGGTACAAACTAAAATAGAGCAAATTCCATTCAAGCAAAATAATATTTTTTTTTTTTTTACTGTGAGGGGTGCCCAGAAGTTGTGGGGTCTTCATCCTTGGAAATATCCAAAACCTGAGGGAGCACAGTTCCCAGCAACCTGCTCCAGATAACCTACTCTGAGCAAGGGGGGTTGGAAGAGGTGATCTTCAGAGTTCCTTTTCAACCTCAAGCATTCTGTGTTTCTATTTTTGCTTGAGGCTAACGTTTATCTTCTAGGTGAGACATAGCTGTAGGCAATTCCAGCCTGTGACACATATTTCCTACCAAAGGACATTAGCAGTTTTTGTTACTAAGAAATCAAATGTGGATATAAAGTAGGAGTCTTTATGTTTTAGAGGCAAGATCAAATACACTTCCTTGGATGATCTGAAAGACTAATTACTGTCCTATAAAATTCAGCTTTTTGGATCTGAACACCTTCTGCTTGAATTACTAAAGCACCTCATAGACTGTGAAATGAAATATCATATATAGCATCAGATGCTTATTTAAGTCTTAGTCCTAATTTCAGATCTTTGTATTTTGCTGCTTTTGTCTTAAACTTAACTGCATTTTACATTTTGGCCATAGTGAGTTTCACTTCTAAGGCAGAAACCTTACAGGCTGCTGTGAATACCTGTTGCAAGCAAAACAAGCTCTTGGTCAGGACTCCATCTCATGGTACTCAGACCGCTGTCCACACTTCCTACACATTCCACCTGCAAGACCAAAATAAGATCACAGAAGTGCATGAACACCAGTGCAGCACCACCCCCACAGAAAAGCAATCATTTACCAAGGCAGGGAAATCCTCTCCTATTTAGAAAAGTAATGAGTCTTATTTTACCCTTTGTGCTGAATGAAACAAAAGAAACATTTCTGACCAAAGATGGTTCCAGAATGTTCATGTGTGAGATAATCTAGAGATTCCAGATAATCTAGAGATTAGCATTTTCTACCATACATAGTTTTAATAAGAAGTTTATTCTGCAACTATTAATTATGTCAGCACACATAGTGTTGACACTAATACAGGTCTGTGGTTATACTAGTAAACATATTGAAGTCACAAAACACAGACATAATGGTATTTACCTAGAGAATTCCAACAAGCCATTAAGAAACATTATATCCATTAAAACTCTGATCACCTTGTGCATGCATAGCTTGAAAATTGTATACAACTGCACCGACTTTGAAGCTTATGAAAAACTGAGCCAGTTTTACTGGGCAATCATGAGTATATAAACAATAGCAGTGGGCAGAGAACTACTGTCATGCACTGTTACCCTGATTTGCAAAAAGCACGGAACAGAACAGTTGTGATAAGCAGCAACATGATTCCATCCAAGGGAATAAGATCAGATGTCTCAATCTTTTCAGGCAAACAAAATGGGACTGGGCACTGGTGGGCAGAGTAACCATCAACCACATGCTAAAGCTTTCAGAACAAGCAGAGTAAACCTTCAAGACTTCTTTTATGGTGCCCAAACTGCACCAAAAGAACACAACTTTGTAATTGAGAAGGCAAGCCAAAAAACCCTGAAATAAAGGATCTGAAGTTAAACCTCAACTCTGACCCATATATCGGTGCAAGAAGAGTCTCCTGTATCACAGCTTTCGTCAATCTCTATTCTCTTACGACAAGTTTTAAGTTGCAATATGGGATACTTTTCAGATACAGTTTATTTTATATTTAAGTGGTATCCGCAAATCAAACTCAAACACGAACAAAAACAGGTGAGCTGCAAATTACCACAATCTGACAGGCAACCCAGACAGACCACTGTAATCTCATGCCTTCTTAAACATGCACTGTTGGGCTGGTATTCTGGTAGCTGATGCAGATTTCAGAACATAAGGCTGTAATGTTTAAGTGTCTTGCTGAAGATTGTACAAATCTGACACTGAGGATGGAACAGAAAGCAAGTATTTCCGTTCCTGCCATATTATTCAGCTAAGACATTTTGGGTTCCATTTAATGTATTCTAGGGCTTTTTTATTCCACATGTTCTTCAATTCACAACACACAGCACTTTCACCTCTCTTAAGTCATGTCAGCATGAAGCTCTGCATTGACTGATAACAATAAAAAGGTAGCTACATTGTGATTTATGAATGGATTGCTTTATTCTGTACCTAGCTTCAGCAATGTTCTTCTTCTGCAACTGTCCAGTGGATCCCATGCTGCTGGGTCTGTGCCAGCAGCTACCTGAGCAAACACACAGGACTACAGCTGTGGACAGGCAAGACACTGTTCCAATGCTGATTCTTTCATGGAGTGTATATTTTGTCTTTAACTATGCTCAAAGCTCCCACTAAAATTCCCCCTGAAGAAATTAAAACAGTGTCATCCTTTCCACTGAAATCTGTCAGTACTGTTGTGTCTTTCTTGCCACGTTACCTGCTTTGTGCTGAGATTGCACAGTAGGATGTCTCCAGCTGCTGTAGCAACACACACGCACTCCTGCTCTGGAAGATCTTCGATACTCACAATGCAGCCACTTCCATCCTTAGGCATGTAACCTTCTGCAGTCAAGGAAACTTCTCTTGTCACCTTGACAGAGAGAGAACAGTGAATAATTAACTACACTTAACCTTACTGGGATTTTTGCAGAAACAAGGGAATAACATCCATGGATGTATTTCATCCTACTGCAATTACACAAAGCATTAAACAGCACAGGCAACGTGCAAGAACTTATCTTCCCTCATCTGTAGGAAACTGTGAAGGTCCTCTTATATTAAAAATGCTAGACAAGACAATGAGAAAACTCACATAAGGTAACAAATAACAGATGGTAAGACTACAGCTTCCAATTTGTCTTACTAAGCATCTTTCAACCCTCTTTTCACACTTCTCCATATAGTGTCAACATTAAGAGGTGAATGCGTAGCTACTTAAGAGTGCCTCAATACTTTTAAGTGGTCATTCAGACTTTACACAGCATAAAAGAATTCAAAGGAAAACCATTTCGATGTGTGTTCAGGTACAGCAAAGCAAGAAAGTTTAGCAAAAATAGCTTTATCTTAGCTGCATGACTTTTTCACACATCCAGTAATCAGGGAAAAATCCACAGTAATAAAGACCTGAAACACCCCCTGTCCCAAACAGAAAAGGAAGCTAACATATCTAGCAACTTCAGATAGGCTTCAGACTGTTGGGTTTTTTAATTCTAAAAAGATTTTAGTTTATAGCCTTCACAGGCCACGGTGGAGATTTTCAGAAAACATCCTTCTTTGAAAATGAGATCCCAGGAAAGTCCCAAACCTGTCAGTCAACTTCAAAGCTGGACATACTGAAGGAATTAGATGCCTCAGAATTGCATAGTGTGTTTTCACAGAAGATACTACGACCCAGTTCTTACAGGAATTCATGGCTCAAGAGCACTTCTTTTTCCTTTAGCGATATGTTTTTGTTTGTTTTTCCCTAGAGTATAATTTAAAAAGCTTCCTCATGTACTCTTAATTATCCCTTTGCCTGTTTGCTTCTACTTTGTGAGTTATGTCTCTGATGCAACTGGATCACGCTTAAGACTAAAGTACAGGAATAACCCATGTCAAATTACAACCACGCTCCTGGAGGCAGATTTAGTAATTTAAAAGCACAGCAAATAATTTCAGCCACTAAG